ACTGTGTGGTGTAGTCCCGCCTCCCACCTTGTTCACTGCGCCACCAAAACAAAACAACATGTCGGCCGTGTGGAACAAGGCGTGAGGGACTGACAGAACGTACGGCATCTGCAGTGCACGACAAAGATGATCGGTATCAACAAACAGATACGGGACAACATCAAACTCTGTTTTACATTCAGTTTCAATATTTCTGAGATTTACAGAAACTCTTTTTGAATATATTGTTTTTCTATGTACCAGTTACTATAGACCTGGGAGATATCCAACATTTATGTCTGATACAGTCCAGCCAAAATATCTTTGTTTAATATCTTTGTTTCATTATAAAAAAATATTTTTATAATATAATTATACTATGAATTTAATGTTTTAGTTGCTTTTTTATAATATATTTATATATTACTGTATTTGATCTTTCAGATTTTTTATTATATATAACTATATTATTATTTCTTATGTTTCAGGTATGAGGAAGTTTAATTATCACATGCCAAGGTAAAATGTGAAATGAGTGAAGCAGTGAAATGGGAGTCAGAATAAAATAAAATGTGATATTATGAAAAATATCACATATATATCGACTCAAGCCTCTGCAGAACCTGTACGTGGGAACTCCAGAGTGGTTAAGGTGGATAGTGCCACACACCGAACCCCATCACCCTGATCTCTCTGCACACTACAACAGCAGCCCCTCTGGCATTAGCAGCAAACACTGGACATGAGTTGTGCCACAGACTCAGTTCATTTATACTAAAACTGAAACAGGGGAACCATCACTTCCTCTTCCAAAAACCAAACAGACACTCTATTTTTTCTATATCTTCTAATTATTCTGTATGATACTGAATACATTAATATATGTAAAAGATTTGAAGGGAAACAGACGAGACTTCAAATGTACTTTTTTTAGAAATTGTGTTTTTGAAATGAGAAGATGGTGGTAAAAATACAGGTTAACGCGCCACAACGTGCAGCACAACCAGCATGTGGCTCCTCACTGTTTATTTACACTCCACACGATGATTAAGAGGGGTAATTGTAACATCAGGAGACCAGAAATAGCAGTGACACGTCTCTGAACAACAACAACAGCAGCAGCAGCAGCAGCAGCAGCTGGTGAAAGAACAGCAGACACGAGGATTTAAAACTGTTTGACTTTTCACCAGGACGCTCCTCTGGAAACCTGCCTCGTGTTTCTAAACAGTGGAAATACAGCGAATTAATTCCACACAACCGAGCAGCAACAATCAACTACCCAATGTTCCACACGATACGATGACCGTGACCTTCTCTCTTTATAGAGCGACGGTCAGACAGGTGCTGATTCTACTCCACGGTCATTTTATAACAACCTCAAAATGTTCCACAATCCAGTGGCAAGAAAAGTAAGGGAACCCTTTGGAGTTATCTGAATTTATATATTAATTCGTCTTAAAATATGATCACTACTTCATCTAAATTACAGTCATGAACAATCACAATCTATTTAAGCCGATAAAACACAAATCACTGTATTGTTCGGCTTTAAAAACCGCTTCAGATAGACGTCATTGATTGTTACCATGGTAACGTTGGTCTTAGGCCTGAGTTAGTCTGGGGGAAAGGTGTCTAATGTGTTGGTTTCAAAATGAGTCAGTCTTTATTTATGTGGAACGGTCTGACTTGCATTAATCTATGAGCAACATGAAGCCCGGACCAACGCGGCAGCAGATCAGAGGTGTGGGTTAGAGACGCTTTCATTTATATCTATACATCTGCTGATGTGAACAATGTCTCACAGAAACAAGATCTCAGAAGTTACAGAGTCGCCTCAAAGAGTTTAGATCTTCATCTGACCACAGTCGACCGTATGCAAATCACCGGAGCACAGAGTCCGCGACGGGACGTGACGGAGGAAGCTGCTGCTCTGCAAGTAGAAACACTCCTGCGCCTGAAGTTTCAGACTTAACAAACTAAGGTTGAACTGTTTGGGAAGAACACGCAGATCTATGTGCAGCATTATGAGCTTCATGATCTGGGTCTTTGCTCCACATCATGGTTGTTGGGGGAGGGGGGGTTTGGGTGGGGGGGGTCTCCTCCAGGATAATGTCAGGGTGTCTGTGCACCTGCTGAAGCTCAGGAGAAGCTACGACCCTGAACAGCAAAGTAAATCTACTACAGACAGTAAATCCACCTTCTGCAGCGGCCCAGGCCTTAATCCAGTGGAGACGCTGTGGACTGAGCTGAAGAAAAACACCAGGCATCCTGAGAATGTGTCTGAGCTCTACGAGGAAGACGGGTCCAGACTTCCTCCTGAACACTGAGCAGCTACTGGAAGAGCTGGTTTCAGCTCGTTGTGTTCAACAAGGACATGAAACACTATATTTGTTTTGTGTTATTAGCTTAAGCACACTGCGTTTGTCTGCACTCGTGTTCAGGTGCGTCCTGTTTGGTTTAATTATCCTTGAGATGTGTCCACCTGTGGTCAACTGAATTGATTGGACGTACACACCTGTGTATATAAAAAAGGTCCCACGATTCACACTGCACATCAGGACGAAAACCAAACCACAAAGTGCAAGAACTCTCTGTGGAGCTGTGTGATAAAACTGTGGTCAGGCAAAGGTATAAAACTATTTCTAAAGCTCTGAGCGTTCCCAGGAGAACAGTGACCTCAATGATTGTGAAATAGAAGAAGTTTGGAACCAGGACTCTTGAGTTTGGCGTCTGGACAAATTGAGTAATGGCCCAAGAAGGACCTCGGTCAGGGAGGTAATCAAGAACCCAATAGTCCCTCTGACAGAGCTTCAGAAGTCCTCTGCAGAGAGGGAAGGACCCGACAGACGGACAGAAGCTTCTAGACTGAAGCCACTTCGAGAGAACGTTGTATGACGGCCTGCTGGAGTTCAAACAGCATTAAACCTCCGAGAGCGTGAGGGAAAAAGATTCTCCGTCTCGGCCTGATGAGACAAAGATCGAAACCTTTGGGCAGAACTCTGTGCGGGAGGTTTCAGCTGCAGGGACAGAGAGACCGGTCAGAACTGAGGGAGGGATGAATGAAGCCAAACACAGAGTGCACGCAACCTGAGACTCAGGTGATGGTTCACCTGTCGGGAGCACAATGACCCCGGAGCAAACAGCCAGGACAACAAGGGAGTGTCTTCAGGACGAGTCCCCAGCCGAGGCCCAGACTTAAACCCCGACGACCACGTGAAGGGAGCTGAGGGTGGCAGCTCTCAGACGCTCCCCGTCTAATCTGATGAGATAAACTGCTGAAAATGCAGACGAGCGAAGCTTGAAGAGAATTAACCAAGAAGACTTCTACAACAGTAATGAATTAAGCTCCTGAATTCTTTTGTAAATGGGAGATTTCAGTTTTAAATTTTCAAGAGATTTGCAAAAATATCGTTTTCACTTTGTCATCGTGGGATATTGAGTCTAGATTGATCGGCGAGAAACAGGGCAGCACGATATGCATTATATTATATTTTGGCAGATACTGTGATTTCAGTTGGACTTTTCATTTTTACATTTTATTTTCAATGAAAACATATAAAATTGACCAAAACTTTTGCAGCTCCTGTGATTTGAATTTTGCACTCGGCCATTTGAGATTCTGATTATATTTCTGAAACCACTCTGTTAATGAATGTGGAGGTTTAAAAAACATTTATTAGGTGTAAACAATGACGGCTGAGTTCCATTTAGCTGCTTCAGGCTTAAAATCCTGGTGTTGTTCACGCTGCCTCACTGTCCCTGTCAGGGCTTTGCTGAGACACTTGAATGGAACACAGCCATTGATAATGTTATTAGTAACACACCTGTGCTTTTCCTACTGTGACGACTCAAAATGTCTGCTGGTATAATAGAGGAGGGGGGGGACGCCGCAGACTTTTTTTTTTTATTATTTTTATTTTACAATGTCGGCCTTTCATTTTCAAATCTTTTCAAAAAGTGGAACCTCCTGGGGAACACAGTCAAATATTTCCTGGTTCAAGCTTCTCAAATGTGAGGATTTGCTTATTTGGTTGCAACACAAGCTCTTTTGAAGACGTCCACTTGGGCCTTCGGGATTATTTCACCGTTTTCCAACATCTTATCAACTAAAAAAAAAAAAAAAATGACTTGAAAGTTAAAACTTTTAACTCTTGGTTATTTTGTTCTGCTCCAACCAAAACGATGCATCTCCAAAATGTCAACTTTATTTTTTTTTTTTTTTCTAAGAAGAAAAAACAACAAAGTCTTCTAAAAAGTTTTGTGATAATTCATTGTGTTTCACCCACAGTTACTTTGACTCTAAGGGATCCATGACTGGGGAACTGGTGCTGTTAACAAACTTTCCAACTCAATTTCAGCACTTCCTCTTGAGACAGCAGAGAGAGCAGCTTCAAACCATTTGGTTGCCACCTACACTTCGCTTCCTGTTCTCTTCTACTGACGACGACAACAACAACAACAACAACAACAACCATATTGTTTCATTTTCTAGTTCACAAGCAACAACACCTGGAAGCGCACAACCTTTACAGACTCTTAAGTGTTTTCTGGTAACTTTGGCACACATTTAAACTACATATTTTCTGGTTAATTCTTACTTTTTGCGTACTTTCTGTATCTAATTCACTGCCACACACAGGTTTCCATTAACAGACTTAAAAAAAAAAAGAAAGAAAAGAAAAGGGAAAGCAAGTATGAGAGCTGGCATTCATTTGCACACATGTTTAGTGAAGTGTAACGCGGTGTAGCTGCACTGGAAACACCAGGTGAACTGCTCTGTTCGTCGCTTTGAGGTTAAACGAGTCACTTTACGCCGTTTTCCCCTCCCCACGACCGTGAACACAACCGGAGCCACTTCAGCAATAAGGTGCAAAGAAATGATGTGACTTAGAAAACAACAGTAACAGTGGGGCTTGCGTAATTTTTCTTGCAAGACATCTTTGCCAGCTAAGGCCAGTCTGAGGTGATGCACAATGTTCCGACTGTAGGTGAACAGGATCACCGGGGATGCTCTACATTACCTGCCCGTACACCTTCGGCATGGTCGATTCTCCGGTGCTCCGGCGGCTTCGATGCTGCGGGTAGGTGCCGGAGTCTGACCCGCCTTCGGAGGCACTACGGTCGGCCAAATGCAGCGCTGGAGCCGCGGCGCCTCCTCCATCTCCGTCTGGGAAATCCTCATTCGCTTCTATCGTGAAAAACCCTCTGTTTTGAGGCAGCACGTAGCTCTGCTCCGGGTGAAGACGAAGGGTCGACGAATTTATTCCAGCGACCCCGAGGACTAATAAATACAACGAACACCGAAGAGACGACTGCATCCTGCCCGCTTGTGTTATCGCCATGTTTGTGTACGTTTGGCTCTGGATTAGGTAAGACTGAAGAGCTCCTTCTACAGGCGGCGATGTCCCCGATGCTGCGTTCACAAACCATGGGAATGTCGGGAAGATTAGCATTCCCACCACAAAGCACGCATCTGTCGGCTTAGTGGTACACACAAAAGGCAGCTAGCAAGCCTAAGGTGTTCCACGCATTTTTTTTAGTTTTTTGTTATTATTGAAAGACAAAAATAAAAGAGAAACACAGCATTAAAAACACACGAATAAAAAAAAAAAACAATAATAAAAAATAAAATAAAAAAACACCTGAAAACAGAAACAAACGTCACACAGCAATATTAAACCTACCCATATGTAAATGTTATATGTGTTCATACAGTATATTGATTTTCCATATATATGAAATATAAGAACATTTAAAATGAAAACATATATTTAAAAATTGAATATGAAACGTGTTAGAAATTGTATCTGTATGCTTGTATTTAGGTATCTAGAATTTTTTATATGAATGTTTATGTATGTAAATTACAATATAAATTGAATATATTTCGTTAATATATATGGTTGCAACATGTTATACCATATAAAAATGCATCATATAGATATTGTTAATATATGCATATACAAATTGTGTGTGAATATTTCATGTTTTGACATTATTGTGAAAAGAAACGTAAGAATGATACCTTTAAAAAAAAATTTAACTGTAATTTAAACATTTTCATATCCGAGCTGTGTGAAATGTGTTTTTTTTCTTTTTACAAGTCCTTTCACCAAATATACCTAATTATTAAATAGCCTATATGGAGAGGTGTGGCCATGCAAGGCCTTCTTGACTTCTGAGTCCTAAGTATAGATGCTTATCGCAGCAGACATATTGGCCTGTCCTAGCAGGAAAAGCACAGGTGTAATTAATAACATAATATATGACTTCAGTCTATTTACATGAGTTAATTCCAGGAGTGTGTGATTCTCAGTCGTCTAGGTCACGGTTTCCCCGGGGGCTAAACAAAGTTAATTGGAGTTTCTTGAGGTTGTTGAAGACGTTTGCACCTCTCATCAGAACTGAACATGCTGTGTATCCTGATGTTGTGAATTTACTCTTTGGTTTATGTTGCTGCTTTATGGTTTGATTTGACACAGTGAAATAATCCACTTTACTGCCACTGGGTAGCAGCATTGATCTGCGGTTTAAACCCACCACTTAAGCTGCTTCCACTTTACTTACAGTGTGGTAATCGTCCTTTGTATAATCCCATTGATGTTATCCACTGAGACTATATGATGGGGTTGGGACACACTGCATGTCAATGACAGCGATCTTATTTTAGTCTCATTAAAAGAGATATTTTCCATTTGTAAAAAAGTAGACAACTCTTAATTTGTTGATCTGTCACTTTCACAGCCTGTTGGTAGGTAAAGGTGCACAGTATATTAAGACTGAGCTATGCATTGTGTTTATTTGCCATCGTAGGTTGTGGTCTTTTTATTGAGTTGTATTATCAGTCCGTGCATGAAGTATAATTCTTCTGCAGTTGTTCACGTTGTATGATGAAAAATGCCAGTTTAAGGGGTTTTGCCTAATTTCATTGACTTATTTGTGCTGAGTGTAAATGTATGTTGACGTTTGTGAGCTCTTTCTTCAGTAGCCGATGCTGCATAAACGCTGTTAGAGCTTTGCGTGTGTTATTGTCCCACTGAATGAAGACGTGCAATTCAATTCAGCGCACCAAAGCATCAGTTTGTTCCACTATCCAACTTGTACAATAAAAATTGAACAAAGAAGTCGAGAGCCGGAAACAGAAACAGCTCGTCTTCAAAGTATAGGTTGCATGTTTTGGACAAAGTGCTGGCTGCAGTGGTCAATTTAAGGAGAGCTAAACTAAATAAACAGACTGTCCAAAAAATGAACATAATTCACAACTGTTATAGGGTTTAAATTTCAAATGTGTTACTTTGAGTGAACATTAAAGGCTATATATGTATAGAGCCACACAACTGATGTGTGCTGCTTACCACCAAACGTCTCAGTGATGTATAATAAACCAGACGGTTGATAAATGAATGAAGAAACCAAGATAAAGTGTAGTAGTAAGGTGTTGAGACAAAACAACTTCAAAGTTGTTAAACTGGGCTGAAAACTGGTGCCTGAAGGCCACAGCATAAGAGTCACATCATTTAGTCCTCATTAAACCGTTCAGGTCACCAGGTGTGACTGGTGTGCACATTAAACACATGGATCCAAGAGCCATTTAACCATATATTCTGTTCAGGAAACACACAAATAATAAAGAAAGGGTAACTAAAACATCTTACACTCTTAATGCATCAAAAGGGGAGAGAGAAAAAAGAAAAAAGAGAATCTCAAACATTCACCAGGATGCTGCTTATCCTGTTAACAAAGAACAAAATTAAATGCAGGATACAACTTCTGGTTCTAAATTACAACCATTTGCCTTACTAACAACTAAAGTCAAATAAAATCATAAATTAAGATTCACTGAAGGTAAACATAATTTGAAAGAAACAATAATTAATATCAAACAAAGGACATCGGTTTCCAGCAACCTGCAGGTGTGGCAGCGTGGTCTCTAACAAAGGGATCTCAGGTGTACACACCCAGTGCTTTGTAATCAGGAATATAAACTGTCCACGACCTCCTCCGCAGCAAAGCACAGACAGATACCGTCCGAGAGCAGCTGCTGAACATAATGGAGCGTTTAGAAGATAAAGAGACAGATTTCCCTCAGGAGCTGGTGGAGACGAAACACAGAGCTGAAAGAGAGGGAACACTGGACTGAGATCATCATGAGACATCAGGTGAATAATACAAACAATGTAAATTAAAAGTTATAAATGAAGACAGATCTCAGACAGATGTTTGATCTCACCTCTGGAGACTCTCCTTCCCAGGACAGGAGGTGTTCTTCCTCGTTGCTGCCTTGAACCGTCACCTGGGCTGCCTCTCCTGGTCTCTGGGAGGGAAGACAACTCGCTGTTCCTCCTGCTCTGGCAGAATTTTATGTTTGCATGAAATGATAATACACAATATACTTCACCACAAGCTATGAGACACACTCATGCACCTGGGATGAAGTGGTGAAGGTGGAAACCAGAAGGCTTTGTCAGTCTACCAGTCTCTGTGTACAGCTGCACACCTGGTGGGTCCTTGATGCAGCTGATGTGTCTCCATATGTCCTGGATGCGGCCAGAGAGAGACAGACATGTTTCAAATGTTAATGTTGATATTTGTGTGTGAATTTCACCCGTTCCTAGAAAAACTCCCTGGTGGGAAGCACCTGTTCGGAAAGAACACTGGAGATTGCTGACAGATCAGTTAGACATACAGTGCATTTAAAAGTTCTCAGTCACTTTACATTTTGTTTTTGTTTTTTTCTCTCTTCTTCTACACAATGAAATTGTTCATTAATGAATGAATTTAAAAATGTCAGCAAGCTAGCTGCTAATGCTAGATGCTAATGCTACCTAGCCCACCCCACTTGTTAATTGCAGTCTAATGCTAGCTGCTAATGTTAATGCTAACAAGCACCCTCCACTTGATATTTTGCAATCTTATAATGAAATCATTGATGAACAATGCCAGTAAGCTAGCTGCTAATGCTAACAAGGTTTCTTCCCCTCTGCTTCCTGCTCAGCCGTCTGTTACAGGTGTGTGTTTGTTCCCCACCGTGGTTGTATTATTTCAACCTAATATGTCTTATAATAGGCCTACACCCATGTTCCCCACATCGATGGTTCCACAGTTTATTTTTCTAACGCTGTTATTCATGTCATGTGTCATGGGCACAGGAAAGGAAAGAGTGATCCAGCAAACATGAAGTCCAGCTGCAAGTGACACAAAACCCTTAAAGGAAGGTTCAAAATTCATAAGCTGCCCCAGTCCTAAATCCAACAGCAGCTGTGCATGAAGTTCAAAATACTAAGAAATAATATTCACAACATTCATAAACATACAGTTCATTCATTTGAAAGCAATTTTAACTAAATAAAAGGTTTAAATGTCACAAGTTATTCCTGTGCCCAAGGACAGTTAAGTCTGTATTATCTGTCTTAAAGCTAGAAATCAGAGAATCCCCAAATCCTCCATAGACAACACAAGGGCACTGACTTTGTTCTGTGTCAACAGTTGTGTAATCCATTAAAATATCGATTAAATGTCATAAGTGACTAATGAAAATGTTGAGTGCACTTTTTAATTGAACCCCCCCACATTAAGAGCTAATGAGTGCAAATGGTGAACTAATACAGTAGATAAACAGACTCTGCAAGTATAAACTTGCAGATGTCATATTCTAAAAAAGCCAAAGGCTTGTTTTCATCAGTCAGGCTACTGAAGTTATAAAGCTAAAATTACTTTGAGCCACTGTGAGAAATGCATTACCTCACTAACCCAATAATCTACAGTAGCTGTGTAGTGCACGTCCTAAAAGGTCTCATCCAGATTTTAAATTGGACATCAGGTTTAAGATATAAAACACTCTTTGGTGTGAGAAATTAGACAAACATTTTCAGGCCTCACAGCTTCAGAGCCCCAGTCATTGTTATAGAACAAACCAGGATGACATTGCACATTTTAAGGTTCTCCCTTTGGTTTCTAACTTTAGAGGAGAGTGCAGCATGTTCACAAATATTCACCAATCTGTTCTGGGGCACAGGAATAAGAAATTGAATTCATAAACCCAGCCAACAAACCAAATTTACATACGGGTACAAATAAAGTATCCTAACAGATGGTATTGTATTATTAAGGGATACAATATTAAATGTGTGATATAGATACATACAGATCACATATTTGAAAACATTTGATGACATATCTGAAAATAATTCATCTATTTATTGATAGATACTGTATATAGAGAGAGATATAGTGGGGTCTAAAAGTCTGAAACCACTTTCTCATTTACTTCCATTAACAGCTAAAAGCAAAGTTTGGTCTATGATATGTATGATCATCATTAATTATTGTTATAAACAGTAATGAGTGTGTTTTCTTATCTTATCCATCAGCGATATTCACTTGTCAACAGTGAATGT